CCCCAAAATACATTACGGCAAAGACTGGTTCATCCCAAAGATCCAGTTCATGGCCCAGCACAGAAGATCAACATCATCTGGCCAGGACTCTGCGGTCTACACTCATCTCCAGGCCAGCGGTCACTCTTTCAGGGATGAAGATGTTCACATCCTGGACAGAGAGGAACGATGGTTTGAGAGAGGAGTAAAGGAGGCCATCTTTGTGAAAAGAAATCGTCCATCGTTAAACAGGGGTGGAGGCCTCCGGGTTCAACTGTCCCCCTCTTACAATGCTGTGATTGCTATTATCACTCAGCCCTCTGTGAACAGTAAACAGCCATCAGTGTGCTAATGATCCATTGTTAGGCTCATGGTCCTTCTTGAGCATGTGATCAGCTGGTTTTGGTTGTCAGCAGCAAAACTGGTTGATCCACTCTGAGACGGTGCTATTTAAGAGACTGAGCTGAATACAGTTCCTCAGACTGAGGAAGTCTCTCGGATGAGAGACGAAACGTTTCTACATTTTTTTGTTGATTTGCTTTTTTTTTGAATGTCCAGAGGACCAGATTTAACTTTTTTAGATGTTTGTAACTTGTTTTGTTAATTTAATGTATACGGCCATGACATTTTTGCAATTATTAAGAAAGGGGGCAGGTCTATACAAGATTTTCTTCTTCCTGCTCCACCTTCACTCGTGTAAATAAGCGTTGTCAGTGAATGCGTTTGTAAACTGATAATTTTTTTTTTGAATCGAGTGAATAAATTGATTGATTTTCCACTTTCATATTGAGTATGAATCCAAATCCAGATTTCCATGGTGTAATAATTTTGATTTACATTGATCATTTTTGTGTTCTTTTCTTCTCAATCAATTTCACTGTGCTAATAATAAAGATTGTCATTGAGAATATTTAATTAATTGAGGTCTAGGATGTGTTATTTTAGTGTTCCCTTTAATTTTATGAGCAGTGTGTGTGTGTGTGTGTGTGTAATATATATAAATAAATAAATAAATATATATATATATATATATATATATATATATATATATGTATATATGATAAAGAGCCTTCAATAACAACAAAGCAATTCATTGTTGTGTGTGTGTGTGTTATCAAAGCGCACTAAGAATGAACTGAGATGGCTGGTAGTCACCCAAACACATATAAACAGAGGCATACCTTTCTTTAATGTTTCGGGGCAGGACTGAATGGCACATTCCACTCCTGAGGTGCTGAAGAAATGTTGGGCTGAGTCTACTTCCTGAGAAGAGACTGGATCCTGAGGGACAGACAGCACAGTACATTTAAAGTGAGATCCTTCAATGGCAGTGACTAAAGAAAACTAAAGGACCTCACGCTACAAACAATTACACAGCAATCTATAATGACAAGTAAAGACCTTGTCTTCACTTTGACCTTGATTTGTGACCGTGAAGCAGGGGTGATGAAAAGTGTATGTGACAATCGGTCTAGGGGTGATGCTTATCAATGATGGTTCTACACAACTTGGCACCCTAGGCAAGATTCTAGGACTAGGTGGTGCCCCTGCACAATTTTCTCTCTCAGTAGCGATGTACATACATTCACCTCAATCGTTTCATTTTTGATATTATGTTTTATATTTTTATAACAAATTTGAAACAGAATAACAAAAGCCTATATCACACCTGCCAACATTTGTTTATGGCAAAAAGAGACGCCTGTATGTATTAGTGAGTACCTGCCGAGTGAAACAGTTCTAGTGGGGTCCGGACAAAAACATGAAAGATTAGGCAATTGTTTTACATTAGATGCCCTACCTGAAGCAACCTGGGCTCGAACCAGATGCCCCAAGATTACAAGACACTTATCCACTAAGCTACCACAGTCCTAGTACACATCCATCCATTCATCCATCATGTTTACCCACTTCTTCAGTTTTGGGTCACTGGTGCCCATACTCAGCAGTCACTTTGTGAGAGGCGGGGGACACCCTGGACAGGTCTCCAGTCCATCACAGGGACATGTAGTGAACTCGGCCTCGGACCAAAAACCTGCCTCTGAGGACCTTCATGGGACAGGAACTGTTATTTCATTGATTTGAATCCAGAAATACAAATTAGCTCATCCAGAGACTGTCTAATTGTATCCTGAAGTAATCAATTGAAATAACACTCTTCTTTTATATTATCATCACTATTTTACAATATCTTGATAAATCAGAAGTGTGTTTAGTTCATACCATTTCTAAATGTTGAAGTGAACCACTCATTTTAAATCAACTGTGAAACTATTAATGATTTTTTAATCCTCATTTAAATTAGAAATCAAGTTAAATGTCTATTTTACAAAGTAATTATGCAGTTTTGATATTCTGTCTAAAATGAGAAGTAGTGATGTCGATCGAAAGTCAGAAGAGGAGTTATTAGAACGAAGTGTCGTGTTTTTAAACCTAGCAGACGGTAAACAAGAAGCTACTGGCCTCTCTTCCTCCCACTTCAACATAACATGTCTTCTGTCTGTACGGGACGTTTCTAAAACATTCCTGCTGTTTTCTTGACTTGTAATGACCCTCTGACATCACTAGAACCACCCCCTGTTGGTTGCTTCAACCAATCAGGAAGTACTAAAGTGACCAGAAATGAGAACTCTTTAAAAGTCGACACTTCCTGGAACTGTTGAGTTCTGGAGTCAGTGCTGCAGTTCAGTCTTGAGTTGAACTCAGTCTTCATGGAGTCTTCCACTTCTGAGTGGAAACTCTGAACGGACTCACAGATGCTTGCTGTGAGTCCACCCGGGCATAAATGCCCTACATCTTCGAAGGGAGCTGAGCCTGTTTGTTGAACGGAATAAGTGACACGACTTCTGCCGAGTCACAGCCGCCCTGAGAAGACGCTGAAAGGTAGCGTGCCAGGGACCTCTTGACCGTAGCGGACCCATCCTCTGCCAAGGTAAAGAGTCGTCACGAGCTTCACGCACTAAGTGGACCGAGGGCGAGCTGCATTTGAAAGGAGCGTGCTGTTTCTGGTCCACAGACATACATCTTCCTTCAAACCTCTTCATTTAAACTCCTAATATTTCCCATCTTTAAAACTCTTCTACTTCTCCAGTAATTAATCTAGAGGCCTTCAGAAATGTCTGTTGTTTCTATTAAGTAAAACGTGCCAAGTTTTATTAATCAGAACCAGATCAACTAATCAAGTGTACAATGTTTTGATGTTAAATTTTGATTCTGTTCAATAAATGACCGCATTGATTCTGAAGGGGTCAAAGAAAATTAACATCTCATGTCACTGATTAAACCACCTATGCACAGTTACCTCGGTCACATGGCTGTAATTAGCTCGAAAAAGAGAGAACCCGTTATTTAAAATATATTGTAGTGAAGGTACAGCAAAGCTGACCTTGACACACTACAGACACAGAGAAAAATGAGACAAAAAACATTCACTCTCTCACTCACACCTAGGGACAATTTAGAGTTACCAATCATGCATGTTTTTGGTCTGTGGGAAGAAACTGGAGTACCTTGAGAAAACCTACGGAGAGAGCATGTAAACTCCACCCATAAAGGCCCCCAGCCGGGATTAGAACCGCCGACCTTCTCGTTGAGAGGCAAAAACTCTACTAACTGAGCCACCGTGCCACCCCTCTAGTACACATACAAATAGAAAATACAATGCCCACTTTTACTGAACAGAACTTTACGGAAGTTATTTTCTTGAATACTTACGAATTGTGGTTTTATCCAGCATGTTTCTTCTTATTTAATTAATTATATGAAGGAATGTAATGTTCAGGCTGTTGTTTAATATACCGTATTATTTTACATTACAGTAGTTCCTTGTTTATCACGGGGGATCCATACCCTGAAGACCAGCGATAAGTAAAAAACAGTAAAGTAGGAATAGTAGTACAAGTAGTAAATAGTAGTTTATTTTAGTGTATATATTTTTATTTTTTTTCAATTAAATTCAGTTTATTTATATAGCGCCAAATCACAACAAAGTTGTCTCAGGGCACTTTACAGAAACATTCACATATATAAAAGTCAATTAGTAAAGTTCTCTATCTAAGGAGGCCAGCAGACAAGTTGAATCTAGGCTTTGTTGCAGTCTCCCATCCTGAGCAAGCACAGTCGCAACAGTGGAAAGGAAAAACTCCCTTTTTCAAAGGAAGAAACCTCCAGCAGAACCAGGCTAAGGACAAGCAGCCATTTGCTTTGACCGGCTGGTTTGAGAGGACAGGAAGGAGAGACAGACGAACACAGAATGGTAGGTCCAGGTGTACCTGAAAGAAAAAAAAGCATGTTAAGGATAGAAAAAAAAAAGTACAACTGTTGAGCAGAGTAAGTAAATACAGTAGTATAGTGAAAAGTGTGGTCAGTTTGTCCTCCAGCAGTCTAAGCCTATAGCAGCATAACTAAGGGACAGCTCAGGAAACCCAAGCCGACCCTAACTATAGGATTTAGCAAAAAGGAAAGTCTTAAGCCTAGTTTTAAAACTGGATAATGTGTCAGCCTCATGGACAGAGATTGGAAGTTGGTTCCACAAGAGAGGAGCCTGAAAACTGAAAGATCTGCCTCCCATTCTGTTTTTGTAAATTCTAGGAACCACAAGTAAACCTGCAGCCTGAGAGCGAAGTGCTCTGTTAAGAAAATATGGAACAATAAGATCTGTAATACAAGAAGGAGTCAGGTTGTTGAGAGCTTTGTAGGTTTGAAGTAAGATTTTGAATTCTATTCTGGATTTGACAGGGAGCCAATGGAGAGAAACTAAAACTGGTTAGATATGATCTCTCCTACTATCTCCAGTAAAGACTCTGGCAGCAGCATTTTGGATCAACTTAAGACGTTTTAAAGAAGTATTTGAATACCCAGATAATAAACCATTGCAATAGTCCCGTCTAGACATGACAAATGCGTGGACCAGTTTTTCTGCATCATTTTTAAATAAGATGTTTCTAATTTTAGCGGTATTATGCAGGTGGAAGAAGGCAGTTCTAGTAATGTTTTTAATGTGGGGGACAAAAGACATGTCCTGATCAAAAATAACACCAAGATTTTTAAGATTAGAGCTGGAGGACAGATTAATGCCATCTAAGGAGGGAGAAAGACTGAAAAATTAATTCCCAAGGTGCTCAGGCTCAAAAACCAAAACCTCAGTCTTGTCTATATTCAAAAGGAGACAATTAAGGGTCATCCAGGTTTTTATGTCTTTAAGACATGCTTGTAGTCTAAGTAGCTGATTGGATTCATTGGGTTTAATGGACAAATATAATTGTGTGTCATCAGCATAACAATGAAAATTTATCCCATGCTGTTTAATAATTTTACCTAATGGAAGCCTATATAAAGTAAAGAGTATTTGCCCAAGCACTGAGCCCTGAGGAACTCCATGACTAACTTTGGTGTATGAAGAAGATTTATTATTTACATTTACAAACTGGAATCTATCAGATAGATATGATTTAAATCATTTTACAGCTGTTCCTGTAAGTCCAACATCATATTCAAGCCTCTGTAGTAAAATATAGTGATTAACTGTGACCTGCAACTATTTTCTCTAGAATTTTTAAGATGAAAGTTAAATTAGATATAGGTCTATAGTTGGCCAGAATTTCTGAATCAAGGTCAGACTTCTTAAGTAAAGGTTTAATTACAGCAACCTTAAAGTGCTGTGGTACATAACCATTCATTAAAGACAAATCAAGTAGATCCAAAATGTGGACATTAATTAGGGGAAATACCTCTTTAAACAGTCTGGTTGGGATGGGATCTAGCAGGCATGTGGATGGTTTGGATGAGGTTATTATTTTTGATCAGCGAGCTCAACAGGACAAAAACTGTCCAAACATAAATCAGGCTCTAGTGAAATTTTTAAAGTTGCCTCATTTGACAGGGGACTAGAGATAGTAGAAGGAAAGATGGGTTTGAATTTTCTCTCTGAAATAATTTTATTGATAAAGAATCTCATGAAGTCATCACAACTTATCTTTGTAGGGATACATGGTTCAACAGAAATGGGACTTTTAATTAGTCTAGCAATAGTACTAAACAGAAACCTAGGGTTATTTTTATTCTCATCTATTAAAGATGAGTAATATAAAGTTCTAGCTTTACGGAGAGCTTTTTTATATGTTAGCAGACTATCTTTCCAAGTTGAATAAAATTTTTCAACATTAGTAGAGCACCATTTTCTCTCCTGGTTTCTAGATGCCTGCTTTAAAGTACGTAACTCAAAATTGAACCAAGGAGCCAGTTTCCTCTGACTGATTATTTTCTTTTTCAGTGGAACAATT